ACACTTAAGGTGCGTCATTTTAACACTTAAGGTGCGGCTTTGTAACACTTAAGGTGCGACATTTTAACACTGAAAGTGCGTCATTTTAACACTTAAGGTGCGTCATTTTAATACCTAAGGTGCATTTTTGTAACACTTAAGGTGCGTCATTTTAACACTTAGCTTTTGTATTCACAAGAAATTTTTTTTTTTTTAAATTTTCATTGATTTAAGCCGTTGATCTAGATTTAATCAACAACTCAGATCTCATTTCATGTTTCACCTTTAAGACTCTTCGCACCAGATCTCTTCCCTATATTCATCCACACTTATTATATTTTTAGATTTAAGTTTTTAATGTCCTTAAATAATAGAATATTATTCAATTTTCTCACCATATTTTAAAAAAAAAATGTTTACTTAAATGCTGACATATGCATGGATTGTTGATGGGGTTTGGGGCGGAAGAGATAGGATTGTTTATCCATGGTGATTGGCGAATGGAATGGAAAATAACACTTTTGATAAATCTGCATTGCATGCAGTCCAAGTATAGTGGAATATGCTGAAACATATACACACTTACTTACTTTGATGCCTTACATTACAGATAGCACTTAATTACAATTTTCTCAACTCGGATTACTTAAGTTTGTCTAATTGCGCGCAGTTACGCCTTCTCCACCCACCCCACCCAAAATTCGCCCAATTTATTTTTTAAAATATAAATATAATACCATTTTTTTATTCAAAAATAAATACCAACTATTTCGGTAAAGTTATTTGTACCTTTAAATTTATAGAAAACTTTAGATAATTAGTCACTGATCAACTACACGCAAAAGTTTTAATTCAGTCATTTAACTTTTTTTTTTTTTAAAAAAAAAGTACAATTAGATCCCTAAACTGTCCAAAATTATACAATTTGACATGTTCCTCATGTCATCGTTGACGTGGGGGTTATTCTATTAAAAAATTGTTTTTTATTTATTTAAATAATTCTTTAAAAAAATTAAAAAACAAAAAAACAAAAAAAAACAAAAAAACTCACCCCCTCACATGAGAACACATTCAGATCGTCCAACCAAGAGATTTTAATGGATCTTATTTTTCTTTATTTTTGGTATCTTTTTTTTTAACGATTAATAAGTTGCTTGATTATAGAAGTTTTAATTATGGTTGAATTGCAGTTTATCTAGTAGGATTTTCAAATAGCACTTTTGAGGTTAACGCCGGTGGAAGTGTGACAATGAAGAGGGCATAGACGAAGGTTAGTTTAATGTGCGTTTTTTTTTTTTTTTTTGCCGTCCTATATATGTGTGTTGGTATGCCTAGCGGCAAGTGTTGGGATGTGTGCACTGCTATGATCGACTGGGAGCTCTGTAGTGTCGTATACGGTGCTTGCGTAGTAGTATAGTCGTGGGGGATATTGGGGGATGGGGTGAGCCGCCACACTATAGCCGGATCGAGTATTGCTGGAGAAGACGATATGTGTGCACATGCCGCAACAGATATGTGCATATGTGTGTATGTTCAGATGGAGCCAGTATTGGAAGGTGCAATTGTATGCAATGGTGCTTGCATATCGGGTTGTTGTTAGGGAGCGTTATGTTGTGCAACTGCATGGTGCACACGGTTGCAAAAAGACTTCATTTTGACTTCCGACTTTAAAAAAAAATCAGTTTCGATTGCCGTTAACTGTGTATGTTGTGCATAATTTGAACTATATATCCATAACTTCATAACTATACATTCAGAATTGCATAACTACACATTCATAACTTCATAACTATACATTCAGAATTGCATAACTACACATCCATAACTTCATAACTATACATTCAGAATTGCATGCATAACTGCACATCCATAACTTTATAAGTATACATTCACAATGTGAAATTATAACTTCATAACTATACATTCAGAATGTGAAATTATAACTTTATAACTATACATTCAATATTGCATGTATAACTACATATCCATAACTTAATAACTATACATTCAGAATTGCATAACTACACATCCATAACTTCATAACTATACATTCAGAATGTGAAATTATAAAATTATGAACATATGTTTACGTAACTAACGGCAATTGAAAATGATTTTTTTTTAAGTAAAACGGCGCCGTTTGGTGCACACGGTTGCACAGCATAATTTGCCGTTGTTAGGCACTTAGGCTTAATCCTCATCCAACTGTTAATTGGTTATGGCAAATTATTTTGTGGATCATGGTCCACACAATGTTATGTGGACCATAATAAAAAGTACATTTTTAATATAATAAATGTACATTATTTTTGTACTGAATGTACGTTATACAATATAATGTACACTCAATACAAAAATAATGTACATCCCCTGAATATAATGTACATTATTTTTGTACTGAATGTATATTATTTTACAGAATGGTCCACATAACTTGTGTGAACCATGGTCCACACAATAATGATTGATTTGTTATACCATGGACCATGGGTCTAGAGCCGTCAAAATTGGGTTTTACCCGCCGGGTCGACTCGTCCCGTCCCGCCGTAGGTAGGGGATGGGTTCTTGATTATTTCACCCGCCAGGAGGCGGGCTTTTTAGCCCGCCCCGCCTGGGTCACAGGCCCAAGTGGGGCGGGTCAGGCTGGCCGTGGGTTTAGCCCGCGGCCTACTAATCTATATTTAAAAAAAAAAAAAATATCGCAGCATGCTTCACAATTCCCAATTTTCAAATCAATGATGATAGAGATCAAGGAGAAGAAGACCATGATATGAATGATATAATGGTTGATGAATTATGAGTTTTAGAAGTTTAGTATTTGCAAAACTATTTTATTTTAATTCCTAATATTGAATAGAAACTTGAAAGTTTGGATAATTTATATTAGATGTTAGTTATTTTAATTTGTATTAATATTTAGTATTTAATACATGTTGTTAGTTTGCATGTCATTTTTTTAAATTAAAACACTTGCGCAGGAGGTAACAACAATATTTCAAAAAAAAAAAAAAAGTAGTGTAACTACAAGCCTACAGTACATCAAATCTTTTCTAATTACAAAAAAAAATATTGGCTGGCGGGGCGGGCCGGCCACATTCCAAGCCCGCTAAGAGGCGGGCATTTTAGCCAGCCCCGCTATGGGGACGGGCTTTGGTGTGTTTTGGCCCGTCCCACCCCGCGAGACCGTTTCGACGACTCTACATGGGTCCATTAATTTTTGGATCAAGAAGGTCCATCTTGAATTGTGGACTCTGATCCAAAAATTATGCGTCTGTCATTGATATATTCTGTATCTGCGGTTAATAGTTTATATGCCTATAAATAAATTGAAGGTGTGTTAACATATTATATATCTGTAATTATCATGTTGTATTTATAATTAACATGTTTTGTGTCTTCAATTTATTTAATCAATTGCATACACATAATTTGAAAGTTATTTTGGACCAGGATCCACAAATACAAGATAAACATTAATCCATGGTATAATTTGACATCCTCATTATCCTCCCTTCTTGAAAAGGATTCAGCCTCACATTTGTCCATCCTCATTATCCTCCCTTCTTGAAAAGGATTCAGCCTCAAATTTGTCAATCCATGATAAAATGGAAATGATGTCACAACATAGCCATCCATATGCAAAACCATATGGTACAGAATTCATGTTCATAATGCACATACACATAAACACGATATAATGAACATAAATTTTGTGCATTATAAACATAAATTATGTGTATTATGTTAAGTGTTTGTGTCCTCAGCTATATAATGCAAATATTCATGTTCATTATATTGTGTTCATGTATAGGTGTAGTATGAACATGAATTCTGTGCATTATGAACATGAATTTTGTATATTGGATTAGGGTCAACAGTGCACTATGGACCTTAGTCCACAATATAATGATTGCACACACCCCCCCCCCCCCACCTCTCTCTCTCTCACTCTCTCTCTCTCTCTTATGTTTCTTCCTTCATTTCTCTTTCATTCAATAATTTGCCAGTATTATCCATGGGTAAAAATCGCATGCCAAATCCCTCATCTTCAAGTAACTTGAAGAGCAAATCATGGAAAATCTTGTGGATACTTAACATACCATCAAAAATGAAAATATATCTTTTTATGATGCCTTCCAATGGGGGATAGATTGGCTTAAAGAATGGCAAAGTAAGAACCATTTTGTCCATTATTCAACAAGGTGAATCAACATTATACAACCTTATTCTAGACAAGTTTGGGCATTATTGATAGAAACTTCTCTTTTATTGATAATTATGACCTTTGAATTACAATTACTTGTACTAATATACAGCATTTATTGGTTAAAGTACCTACAAGGTCCCTACACTATAGTATTTTGTTCAATTTAGTCCTTTTACCTTTATTTTGTTCAATTTAGTCCTTGTATTTTCAAAATGGTACAATTAAGAACAATAGTTAACGATGTTAATATTACCGTTAACATAGATTACATGGCATTGACAATATTTATATTCCTACTCATATATTACTTTATAAATATTTAAAATTATTTATTTTTACCACCAATATATTAAATTAGTATGTTCAAAATAAATAATTACAATCATATTCCTAATAAAATTTAGACAATTGTCCTTAATTTCACTACTTTTTAAAGTAGAGGAACTAAATTGAACAGAATAAAGGTACAAGGACTAAATTGAACAAAACACTATCATACAGAGACTTTCTAAGTACTTTTACCGCATTTATCTGTTGGTCTTGTGTATAGAACTTCATTCGTTTTTATTTTAAACAATTAAATAAATAAATAAAGTGAAATAAGAGGTACACATACACCACACCAAATTCCACCTTAGACCAAACCAAACACCTGAAATCAAAGTGGAAGAATCCCAAAAACAGCCAAGAGCACAGTACTGAGATTGTACCAAGCTCCTACAAATCTCATCACCAAACAGTCCATTCAGATAGTAGTTCCTCCTAATACACATTATGTTTACAAGTATTGGTCATACAGAGACATGTTACATTCTACACAAGTTGAAGCTTGGTTTTTGTCAAAGAGCATTTCCCTACATCTGCTTTTACAAAAGCAATGATATAATAATTAATAATACTAATAATAACAACAACAACAACAACAACAACAATAATAATAATAATAATATAATAATAATAAGGTACCACAGCGACCGAGGGATACAATACAAATACAAACAATTCATTACAGACAGAATATAGTAATAAAAAGCTCAGTTCCAAAGGCATATTTGTCTGTCATAATTTGGGAACTCATAATCCCAGGAAGGGGCATTGCTTCCTGGCATGCTCGGGAATCAATTTCACGATGGTCTCGGTTGGCACACCCTTCAACTCTATAATAACATGGGAAAACATTCAACAAAACTCACAACTTTACAAAGAAAAGAAAATTCAACATCCTATTATGGTGTTCATACCGTGGGGCTTGAAGTTGAATAAGGGTGGAAGAAAGCGTCCATTTGGGAGGCGAATGTTGGGATCACGTAGCTCATCGAAGAATGGGTGGGTCAAGGCATCCAACTAGATTTAAAATAAATGAATAATTAAAAGTATGAACAAGTTTGAGTTAAGTTTTTTTTAAAAAAAAATTTACAGATATTATACAACAGACAAAAAGCAAAACAATATAATGTGGGTGTTTGGTAAATGGCTGTTAGCTGATTGGATTAGTGAGTTTGACTAGTTGATAGTATTAACTGATTACAGAAAAGTGTTTGGTAAATTAGCTGTTAGTTGATTACATACAAAATGATTTTCTCAAAAAGCTGATCGATAAAGCTACTTTGAGTAGCTTTTTTAATTTTAGCATTTTGGAGCAATAAGTTGTTACAAAAAACTAATTAATCAAACACTCATATTGATTGTTTAACCAAGTCAAACAGCTAATAGTGGTCAAATAAGCCAAAATTGGCTGATAGGCTAACTATTTTATCAAACAAGGCCAATAACAGTAATGTACTTACAGCAGAGCAGCGTAAATTTGGAGAGTATTGCAGCAGTCTAGAAACTAGGTCAACTGCTTCTGGTGGCATCCGTTTATGAAATATCTGATAACCAAAAATAGAATATGGGGTGAAATTGTTAACATACATTATATAAGCAAAAGGATTTTAAGCACCTTGTGCCAGGGATGAGCTTTAATTTGTGGGAATTTGAACTCTGTGTAGTTAGGATTCATGCATTTAATTTCTTCCCTGGTAGGAGTACCCAACACCTGCAAGATACTTAGATTTAATACTTGGAGCAAAACCAATAACTCAATAGCAAGGTGTTAGAATGGACTTCTCTTTTTTATTTATCTTTATTTTGGATAGAGTTTGGGAGGCAAAGTTCAGTGATGAGGTGGTGCTTCCACAATTGCACTGGGGGGGAAATTAAAGAGAATTCAAATGCCTTACCACAAAGATGTACTAAAGATGGAGTCATTTAATTGGTGAAGTTCAATAGTTGTTTCAATCCCCTATTCTAGATCTGTAGTCGCAAACTCAGCTACAAACATAAACACAAAACTCTAGTAGGCTAACTACAATCATCCTTCACAGGAAATCCCTCCTATAGCCTCTGAGCTTAACATCTAAATTCATGATATCTAAAGCAAGAAGGCAGTAGTTGTGCACTCAGGGTTATCAAGGCGCCGCCTAGGCGTCTGGGCGGTCACGGCCTTGCACCTAGTTCGCTCGCCTCGCCTAATGCAAAATACAACCCAAAACCCCACAAAACATACATGGGCAGAACCTACACACTAAGGCGAGTTGACCGGTGTAATTTTCAGCTGGAGAAGACGCCGGAATCTGCCTCACGCGCCGGCGCGTGGCGTCGGAGCAGCGGCGCGTGGAGGCTCCGATGGCGGCGCGATTTGAGCTCCGGCGTCGTCCTCCTGTTCCGAGCAAAGCCCACTACCTCACCCTGACATGTTATCAATAAATACTAGACTTCTCACTACTCTAGGAAAAACTATTCATCTTCTCAAAGATGACTTGAAGTAAATAGGGTTCAAAAATGCTTCCCAAGACAAGATATTTTCAATATACAATAAATACTAAACTTCTCATTATTCTAGGAAAAACTTTTCATCTACTAAAGGCAACTTGAAGTAAATAGGTTGCCCAAGACAAGATATTTTCAATATATATGTATATATTTTATATATTTTATTTATTTAATACTCATCGCCTAGTCATCGCCTAGGCGGTCGCCTAGTCGACTAGTCGACTAGGCAAGTTGGTGGCATCTCGCCTAGAAAGTCCGCCTTGATAACCTTGTGTGCACTTGTGCTGGTAATCATTGGATTCACTTGTAAACCAAACTATCATGTAATTTAGAAAGTACAGAGTATTATTTTATACCAAGAGGTCAGGATACATCTGCCCTATGAGCTAGGATTTGCTTTTTTTTTTTTTTTCTTCTCATGCAACTTAAGGATTTAAGGTCTTCTGATGTTCTTTGTTCATAATTAGACCAGGGAGGAGAAAACAACAGTAAAACCAAAATAAATTTTAATTGTTAACTTCCAATGAAGTGCATATACAAGCATTCCCTAGAGCATAGAATGAATACTAGAACTTTGTCCCATTTAAGTTGGGATCAGAAAGAAAGGAGAAAAGAAGAAACAGTTAAAAAGTGAATGATAGCAATATAGCATAATTAGGAGACACAAAGGAGATGACCAAAAAAAGTACTAAAGTGAAGAGAAGTGGAGTTTACCTTAATGATCTCAACAAGCTGGTCTACTCCACTTTCACCAGGAAACAAAGGCTGCAAATAAAAAGTAGACAATAAATACAAATTCAAACCAAAATTGGAAGAACCCATTATCTATTGGAAAAGTTTGCTATACCTGGCCAACAAGTAGCTCAGCTAGGACACAGCCAGCAGACCATACATCAATGGCTGTAGTGTACTCTGTTGCTCCAAAAATAAGCTCTGGGGCTCTATAGTATCTAGAGCAGATGTAAGAAATATTGGGCTCTCCTTTAACCTACCAAAGTTCAGAAAGAAATAGCTAGAGTGTCAAGATGAAACACAGAGTAGCCCTAACTTATCTTTCCTTTTCCCTTATGGCTGCTCAAGAAGACTGAACATGTGGCATACCAGAACTTTCGCACTGCCAAAGTCGCATAATTTAACTTGATGAGTATGTGGATTCACCTGCAAAAATGAAATAACTGCCTCAACTGCTTGGTGCCATTGAAATTTGGAGAAACATATGTATTGAAAGGAAGAACTCAAAACTAGAAATCAAAATGTTTACATTCCACTACTAGATGTAACTTGATCTATCACTCTCAGCAAAGCATTTAATTTTATATTTTTTGGTTTAAGCTTTTGAGTATAAATTATTCTATAGTTCAGAAAGTACATCACCTTATTGCAAGACCATTAAGATCATGCAAAATAACAAAGAGGCACAAACAAGAAGATAAATAGGCATGCACATGTACCAAAAGGTTCTGAGGCTTAATATCTCTGTGACACACTCCAATACTGCAATGAATGTAAGACAATGCCCTGAAAATCTGTCAAACACAACAGCATATTATACTCTTGACATAATAATTGCAAGAACTTTAATGAAACGGATAAAAAGTTCTCCATCAGAAAGGGTAAAGTAAAAGCTTGTAGCTCAATGCAAAAACCAATGGAAAAAGAAAATGAACAGAAGAATTCTCTCCCTAGTCAATATCAGAAATCATTTAATCCCTTGACAAATATCATACAAAGTTCAACAACTAGCTGTCCCATGCAAATTTCACAATTACCACAAGCAGACACAACTAGAAAAATGCCAAAATAGGTTTAGTCTATCAATATGAAAGATGAAAGTTCTAATGTAACCATAACAAATACTCCATATTAAAAAACAAGAAAAACACTAAGATTCAGTCTCAAAGACAAAAATACCACCAGAATGTCCATGGATTTTAAACCTAGAACAATTGAAACTAAAAGCAAAATTATATTATATGCATGAAGGCATTCAAAAAAATATTATATGCATGAAGAAAATATGCAATACCTGATATGTATAAAGCTTCACAAATATCAAAGGGATTCTTTGATTCAACTTGTTGTAGTGCTTGATAACACGGTGAACAGTTTCCGGAACATACTCGAGAACCAGATTAAGATATAGTTCATCCTTATCAGTTGTAGAAAAGAAGCAGTGCTTCAAGGATACAACATTTGGGTGGTCAAGAAGGCGCATAGTTTGTAATTCTCTATTCTTATATCTTTTGTCCTGAAGAACCTTTTTTATAGCAACAGTTTCACCAGTCTCTAAGCATTTTGCCTGAAAAATAAAAGGGGCATTTAAGATGATCCAATATTGCTCTCTGAAAGCTACAATAGAGAAAGTTCACAAGCATACACTGATTATCAATAAACACTACCAAACCATACCTGAAACACTACTCCAAAGGATCCATGCCCAACAATACGTTCAGCCATATAGCTTATAGTCTGAAAACTTAGACCAAGTGAAAACATTGAAATTTTGGAGGCCAATAAAAAGAGCATGTCTCAAAACTAAGAGGTACACTTAGATTCAATTATTACATCACCAAACAATAGTATTGTGTGTGTGAAGCAGCAGAAGTATGAGGTCCAACTATAAGTAATCTCATAAGATACATGAAAACTGAAAAACTCATTGAGAACAATAACACGATACAGCTAGCTTTTTGCTTTATTGTATTCCACTTCTGTGTTCTGAATAGAGAGAGTTTAAGAACAGTAAACCTCACATGTGAAAATCCGGAAAAAAAAAAAAAAAAAAAAAAAAAAAAAAACAAACACTGCAATGTAAAAAAGGCCTTATGTGTCAGGAAGAGGCAAATTGAAAACATATTGTGCAAAATAAAAATAAAAATAGAAAAGGTATAAATGCAATCAAATACAAAAAAGGCAATCAAGAAAATAAGTCTGACCAAAGTGTGCATGGCTCCATAGCATGCAATGTCTAAGGAAGGAAGACATACACAGCCTTATCTCTGTTTTCAAAGAGGTTGCCCCCAAAAACTGTACCCAAGACCTAATAGTCATTAGGCAAGCGCTTGGTCACTACACCAAGCCCAAACTTCCACTTAAAAAAACACAAGTGGAACTGTGCAATTACCTGTTTTGGCTGACCATTTCGACCACCAATAGTTGTCACTATTATATGACCTGTCTCAGTACCATTTCCATCAACAACAGTTGCTTCCATATCCTATAAAACAAACATATTTCCCAGAGCATGAAGAAACCATGCGTGATGTATGAGAATAAAAGAAGGGAGGATATCCAGACCTTATCATCTCTGATTTTCATGTCATTCATCTCCTCAGGCAACCTATCAACACCAACGGTGTGCCCACTGGATTCTCTTGCACCAGTAGTAGGTGCTAAACCTACGGAAGCCATTTTGTATAGACTTATTCTTACTATATCTGTATATCACCTCAACAGGTCATTCACCTGCAAGAATTGACACCAAAAACTACTTTATATAATAGAACCTTGTTTCCAACCACTCATCCTACAGTCCCCTTGAAAACAAGGCAATAAATGACATATGCAACTTAACATTCAAGAGGATCCAGCAAAGAGATTAAACTTTAAGAATGGTGTTTACAGACCCATACTATAGGGATCTGGGAAAGAGGGCCAACCAATGGAAAATGATCCCAATCAAGAATGCGGGAATCAACTCTGAGCCATATCTGTTCAAGCAAATATAAGCATAGATTTGTACAAGTACAACACACTCAAATTTGCACGGGTCGTTCAGTTATTTAAAAAATAGTAATCAAATCGACTTTTAATAGATATTTTCCTGCCGGAATACTGTTGTACACTAGAACATGCTTGATTCAGATCTAGTACTCCAGAAATTCTGCTTTCATTAGAAATTAATACATGTATTTACATCCTTACTTATACAATAGAAGTAAATGTGACTGGTTGCTTAAATATTTAAGAATAATAAGCAATTCTAATTTTAATGAATACTTCCTCGCTTGAATAATCTGGTCAATTTGATACAGAGTTAGTAACTCAGGAACTCCACTTTCACAGCAGAAGAGGACCTTTTGCTAGACATCCATTGTTAGACTATACTATCAAAGACAAACTCCTGGTGGTTGCTGACTTGCTGTTGCTCACATGTTAAAGGCCAGTATGATTTTAAGGGATAAAATCATGAGCTAGCAAAAGATGTTAAAGCCTCATGGCCAACCAATGAAAAAGTATAAAGCAAGATTTTGTAATCTTAACTATACAAATTGCAGGGAAACGAGAAGAATAAAGTGGACCATGGACAAAGGTATTGCTCAAATATGAAAAGTGTATAATAAGAAAATAATATTAGCCATGTCTATCTCATAAATTTACCTAATATTGATATTGAAACCAGTCCTAAAAATATAGCTAGCCTTTCGATTTAGCCACTTAAAGAAGAATTTAACTAAAAAAATCAAATAATCCTGCAGAAAATTACGCCACCACATATACAGTTGCCAAATCTCCAATATAAGTTGGAGATTCCAAAGCATCAAATCAACAAAGATAATCATTTTCTGTTAAAAAGGAACAAATTTGAGTATCTCTTCAGAAAGGATTATGAGGGAGAATAAACATCAAATAGCAATTGTTAATGATTTTTAAAAAAAAAAAAAAAAAAAAAAAAAAAAAAAAAAATCTAAAGCAGTGGAAACTTAAATATTAATAAATAAATAAATAACAAATAGCAAACAATTTGTGCTCGTTCTGTAATCCACAAACAAAGAAATATCAAAATGAAATGATCATGATAATTGAAAAAATCCAACTCTAACTACAAAATCAATGACACGATCCTTAAAGCAAGAAAAAGTGTCATAGAAGGTATATATTAGTTATTAATTCAGTTTATAACAAAATTTACTTCGCAGAATTTCGCAAAACGATCTATAGATCCATACTCAAATAAAGTGAAAACATAATTCTGGAAATCAAAGTCAAAAGCTATACAGGAAATGCTAATTTTTCTCGCAAATAAAAAAGAAGAACAAGGAGAAAATTGTAGGGAATAGAAACTAACCGCCGTTGCCGATGAAACCAGATTCCTCGAGAGATCGAGAAGAAACGGATCATCAGCAGCAGGCCGTGATTGTTCGTGGTCGATATGACACCATCGGCGTTAGAGAGAGATGAGAGAATCTGATATTGATAGAGAGAGAGAAGGAGAAGACAGAAAATGGTTAATGACTCAAAATTTTTGGTACTCATTTTCATTTTATTTTATTTCATTTCAATTTTCCTTTTTCCCCTCTGGTGGAATGGCAAATTTGACCTCAGAAAAAATCAATTTATTCTTCTTCCTATACAATTAATTAATTATACACATAACTCACTTCTGATTGGATAAAGCACATCAAATGGGCAAATTATTAATGGAGCCCCGATGGAAATAGTCGCAGAAACCCTCTCGGAGAAATCCTCATCAACGGCGATCAATCGATCGCCGGAGGATCAAGGAATACCTGAAAGAAGTGCCAAGAAGTCGAAGAGAGATAGGAGTGCTCTTGAATTTTCCTCGCCACCAGGCTTGGGGAGAGGAACCCAAGGAGCCCCCGATGCGTTCGATCTGAAATCGCCGGAATCCGCCCAGTGGAGAACCCCGGCGGACACACCCAACAAATCTTGGTCAGGGCTTTTCACAACTGAGCAGAGCGACAATTTCGAGGTCTCGGATGATGAAGGCATGGAAGATGAAGGCGATCCAACATGCCCGGTTATCCCAATTACTAGAGAAGAGAAAGAACGAATTCGTCGCCCATGGAGACGATCACTGATTATCAAGATCTTCGGAAGGAAAGCGGGTTACGCATACCTTGTTCAAAGACTCCAAAAGCTATGGAAACCAGAGGCGCCGTTCGAATTAATTGCCCTAGAGAACGAATACTTCATCGCCAAATTCGAGTCAATGAGAGACTACGAAGTTGCCAAATTCGAAGGTCCATGGGTTATTCTCGATCACTATCTTACTGTAAAAGAGTGGGTGCCAAATTTCGATCCAAGAATTAATGTGACCGAGAAAATTCTTGCCTGGGTTAGGTTTCCTACTGTCTCCATCGAATATTTCGAAGAAGAATTCCTTATGAAGATAGCCAGAAAGGTCGGTCGTCCAGTGAAGGTAGATTATTCTACAGGTCTGATTTCCAAAGGAAAATTTGCTCGAGTGTGTATCGAAGTTGACATTTCAAAACCCCTCTTGGCGAAATATACGCTGAGCGATACTGTCTGGCCAATAGTTTACGAGGGGCTTCATCTAATCTGTTTCGATTGTGGATTCTATGGGCACAGATCGGAACATTGCCCTAAGAACACTCTTGTGGATAACAATATTTCGAAAGATGTTGGTGTAGAGAAGACTAATGAAAACCCCCAGACCGAGGGAAGTGCACAGAATCTGCAGGATCAACCCAAGAATTTGAATCAAGACTACGCCAGTAGCTATGGACCTTGGATGCTGGTGCAAAGGAAAGAAAGACGATATCAAAGAAGGGATCCTAATAGAGCTGGGAACGGTCGTCTGCCCCCAGAAAACCATAACAGAGGCCCGGTTGGGGGAGCGAATCCAGAAGCTGAAAAAATGGAAAACCAATCACGGTTCACCCCACTAGCAAACCTTGAAGTGAATGAAGCCGAGCCAACTCAGAATGATCAGGCTCCCATGGAATTTGCTCAGGACAACCAGACCTCCATGGATCTAGTCCAACCACCAATGTTGCCTAGAATCAGAACACATCCCCAGCAAGTTCAAACACCGAGACCTCAGTCTTTTATGGGAGGTCCCCAAATGGCCAGACAAGCGACTGTACAGCCTAGGACTCCCTTCCATGCCCATCGCGGAGGTAGCAGGGGCAGAATAGGTAGAGGTGGTCCACCCAGAAGGGCGGCGGCTGAGGCGGAACATACGGTTGTTCGTGGCACCAACCATGGCAAAGACATCTCTAGAGAAGTAATCCACCACACGGATGACCAGTATGAAGCTCCGCCGATGGTTATCCTGGAAAACTCTGACAGGAATGACCCTCCTGACATCGCAGAGGTCTTTAATAGGCCAGCTGAACCTCCCGATGAAGCAATGGCTGAGGCTGAGAAACGTGATGGCCTAATTGGCCCTGGGGCTAATGCCCAACCTCACTCTTGATTTCTTGTGTGCTTGTTTCCCTTCGTCCTTGGACGTTGTTGTGTGCTTTATTTCTTGTTTTTTATGATTATTTTGTCATGGAACTGCCAAGGGGCGGCTTCACGAGCGTTTGGCCGTACCCTAAAATTGTTTATCCGGATTCATAATCCGGACATTGTTGCGTTGTTTGAACCCAAAGTCTCGGGTTCCCAGGCTGATAATATTTGCTCTTCGTTTAAATTCTCGGATTGGGTTAGAATAGAAGCAGTAGGATACTCAGGGGGAATCTGGTTATTTTGGAAGAATACATTGTCAATAGATATTATTAACACTCACCCTCAGTTTGTGACCTTGCAGGTTGATGATAAGATTAACCAACCTTGTTATCTTTCGTTTGTCTATGCTAGCCCAGTCCCATCCCTTCGCAGAGATCTCTACACTGAATTAACAGGCCTGGACTCACCTTGGATGGCAATTGGGGACTTCAACTCTGTAGTTAGCCCCGATGAAGTGAGCAATCCAGCAACATACTCGCATGCCAGGAGCTCAGACTTTATCAACTGGATTTTCCGGGAAGGCCTTATAGACTTAGGCTATGAAGGCACTAAATTTACTTGGATGAGAGGGCTGCAATCGGCTACTTTTAAGGGTGCGAGATTAGACCGAGCTCTTGGGAACTCGGAATGGACTTTATCGTATCCGAATGCCAAGGTGAAGCACCTGCCTATGATACAATCCGATCACTGCCCACTGCTTGTCAACACAAGGTCAGTCTCAACCCCGGCTAACACCAAAAGGTTTAGATTCAACATGATGTGGGCAACTCACCCAAAATTTCAATCGATAGTGCAAGAAACCTGGGATTACAGTAGGGATATTGAACTTAATAAAGGGACAATGGCTAGAGTTTTAACAAATTGGAATAGAGATGTATTCGGAAATGTGTTCTACAGGAAAAAGAAAGTTCTGGCAAGGATCAGCGGTGTACAAAAAAGGTTAGCTGACCGAGCAAGCACGGAGCTACTTAAATTAGGAATAAAACTGGGGTTGGAATTAGAAGAAATTCTATATCAAGAGGAGCTATTGTGGTTCCAAAGATCAAGGGAGGAATGGATAGTATCGGGGGACCGAAATACAAGATTTTATCATACAGCCACAAAGATAAAGAACAGCTCCGCTAGAGTATCCAGATTGAAGGATGATAATGGTCAATGGATTGAGGAAGAAACCAAAGTCAGGGAGCACATCACATATTATTTCATGAAACTGTTTACTAACGACCATGTACAGCTAGGGCAGGCTCCTATTCTAGACTGCTTTCCAGAGTTGTGCGAAGATGACTGGAGTTTGATAAACAAGCCCTTTACGGATGAGGAAGTCAAGAAAGCTTTATTTGATATGGAAGCTACTAAGGCACCAGGCCCGGATGGGTTTACTGCAGGGTTCTACCAATCTTCATGGAATATTGTAAGCAGGTCTTTGATTGAGTTTGCCACTAGCTTTTTTAACTCCGGACAGCTGCCTGAAGGCAGTAACGAAACGCTGATCACTCTTATTCCCAAGGTCCACAATCCAGAAACAGTTAAACAGCTTCGCCCAATTGGATTGTGCAATGTATCCTATAAAATTTTAACCAAGATGATGACAAACAGACTAAGGGAAAGCTCGAGAATCCTAATCGGACCACATCAGACTAGCTTTGTGCCAGGAAGACAAATTATTGATAACATCCTCGTTTATCAAGAAATTTTGAATTCAATGAGGCATAAGAAAGGGGCTACAGGTTGGATGTTGATGAAGATCGACTTAGAGAAGGCCTATGACAGATTGGATTGGGAATTTATCAAGGAGACCCTCAACGTCATTGGTTTTAACCAAGCATGGATCAAGAACATAATGACATGTGTCACTACATCGAAACTAGCTATCACTTGGAATGGAAAACAGTCCGAATGGTTTAAACCAGGCCGAGGAATTAGACAGGGAGACCCCATATCCCCCTTACTTTTTGTTTTTTGCATTGAAAGGCTGAGCCATCTAATTCATGATTCTATTAACTCTGGCTGTTGGAAGGGCATTAGAATTAAAAAAAGCTGTCCACTAATTAGCCACCTTTTTTTTGCAGACGACATGATTCTATTTGGGGAAGCTTCTCTTGCCCAAGCCGAAGAAATGAAGAGATGCCTCGACAAATTCTGCTGTCAGTCGGGCCAGAAAATCAACCTTCACAAGTCATCCATATTTTTTTCAAAGAATACTAGTCTGGAGCTACAAACGGCAATTTCTGAGGCAATAGGTATTCCCAGAGTAACAGATATGGGAAAGTACCTTGGGGTCCCCTCAATACATGGTAGACTTACGAACGAGTCTTTTTCGGGCATCCTTGAGAAAGTACAAAACAGGCTTGCAGGCTGGAAATCCAAGCATCTCTCTTTAGCTGGAAGACACGTCTTAATCCAATCGGTACTATCCTCTATCCCCTACTTTGCAATGCAGTCCATTTTACTTCCTGTTGGTATAACCTCTGCCATCGAGAGACTCATCAGAAAATTCCTGTGGGGTAATACTGACATCACTAAGAACTGCCATATGGTGAGCTGGGATGTGGTTATAAGAAGCAAAGATAAAGGCGGCCTAGGTATAAGAAATCTAGAAGAAATGAACAGGGCCTTCTTGGCGAAGCTTGGCTGGAGATTAGCCAACAACGATAATAGTCTATGGTCCAGAATTTTTCAAGCCAAATACACAGCATCACCTTCAGATCTTACATCCTGGAAACCGAAGCCCACGATGTCGAACGCATGGAAGGGAATTCTCAAGGCTTGCCCATTATTATATAAAGGCATTTCCAAATCAGTGAGAAATGGTCAGGATACTCTTTTTTGGATAGACATCTGGTTATTGGATCAACCACTTCAGAACTTAGTCTCCTCCCCGATTCCACTTCTAGAACTTAACAGAAGTGTCGCTCATTATTGGACTGAAGAATCTGAGTGGAATTGGAACTACCTGGAACAAGTCTTGCCGGCCGAAGTACTAGATAAACTTGCAGCAGTTGTGCTCTCCGAAGACCCAG